ACAAAGAATATCGCATTGAATTAAGTTTTAACTAAAAATCGGCCAAGATACAATTTTGACAACTTTTTTCCGTAGGGTTAAATAAAAATTATTTTTTTAGCCAAATTAACATAGACTCTTCCCCATCCTCCTTTGTTTAATTCATTCATTGTTTGTTTAGTTTATTGTTTGTTTAAATAATTTTTTAAATCAATTTTACCGTTAATATACTGTAAATGAAATTATAATCTGAATAAAAGTATTAGCTTTTAATTTGATAAAAATGAATAAATGTATAAATGCTTCCCAAATATTAGCTGTTTTCTCATTGATCTTAAGTGAGTTTTAGTTAATTTTTGAAAACAATAATAATTATTATGAAATAAAAATGTTATTATTTACAACATATATTTTTAGTACAAACTCGTTGTCTGTATGTATCGGTTGGCAATTATTCCGAGTATAGGAAATATGGGATTAACACAAAGACATGTGGCCTAAAATTTACGCCCGAAAGCATTGACATAACGTATAACACATATTGCTTTCATAATAACTATAATTATACACAAGTGATGGATATGTATGGCCCGCACATACAGTGGGAAGAGGATCTTTTGAGCAGTCGTGTGGCTTAAGGTGCTAAAGCAAAGTACAATGAGGCACCATGGGCAGTTTATGTAGAGATGCAAACATATAAGGTTATTTCCGATTCCATGTGCACCGGTGTATTGATTACACCAAAATGGGTCTTAACGGCCGCCCATTGTTTTAAAGGGTAATTAAATCAAAATTATATTAAATATTTATTAATCATTGAATCATTAAATATTGATTTACATTTATTGTATATAATTAATTACTAATTATTGATTAGTGATTACGACACCCGCGTAATACTCGGTGCGGGAAATAACGGGAAACTAGAGTTTGAGACGAAGACTAAGGATATAGTGATACCGCACCCGAACTACACGAAGGCGTTGGCACCGATACTGGACGTGGCTTTGATCCGACTGTCCTCAGCATTCACTGTCGGTCATACAAATGGCAGGCATTACGTGATTAACACCATATGTCTGCCAAATAAGAATCAAATAAACGTTGAGCAAGAGTTGGCCACAATCTTTGGTTACGGTATTATTAACGCAGAAACTGAGGAAATGACTAATTGGCTACAAAGGGGAGACCTAATGGTTAGCCCAAACGATGTGTGCAGTTTAGGTCACCAATGGATACTGTGCTCATCGTATAGGCGCTCACAACGTGCGCAACCCTGTGTAGTAAATAACTAGTTTTATTATGTTTTAATGTTATTATTAACGTTTACTATTATTAATATGCATTTATTTTATAACATTAATTGTAATTTGCTATTAAAGGGTGATTCGGGCGCAGGTCTGGTCCAGTATACCGATAAATATGAGACCCAAGCGATACTCATAGGCACAGAATCGATGGGTGATTCAATAGTAAAGGGTGGCAAATGTGATGATATGGCCTCGTATTTAGTCTCCACATCACATGTTGTTGAATGGATTTTAGAGACAATTAAAAATAATTAAATATTAATTGTTCATTTAATTAGTTTGCTTTAATTATATGCAGTATATATTTTTTAAACAAATATTTTTGATTTTCTTATCAATAAATTTTTTGATTATTTTTAATATTTTGAGTTTTGCTTTACTAAACTTTAATACATAAATTATAAGATGATAAATTGATGTAACGTAGAAAAATATATTTCAATTAGTTTTAATGAATTTTATAGTTTATCACAATTTTAAAAACAATTTATGTATTATTAAAAATGTTTATAAATTGAAACGGTATTCAGAAATAAAAATATGTATGATTTCTCTCGAATTTGTATTTTATTTACATTAATCTCATTATAAAGTAATTTTAAAAATATATTTTTATTCTTTATATTCCGATTAAATAATTAAGAATTAAAATAATTAATTTATTAATAGCAAAATCAATGTGTTTTAAATGTGTTTATATTTAAAATTATGACAAAAATATTTGTTTATTAAAGAATTAAAAAATATAATATTGAATTTTCTTTAATACAATCAAAAATATAGTCAAATAACAAATTATGTAATTTAATTTTAATTATAATGGATTATTTGCATGAAATATGATAACAATTTTGACGTTAAAGTTAAAGCAATTAAATAAAAAGAGTTGTTTTTGTGAAGTCTTTTCAAATAATGAATTACTTTTTGGATATTTTTGTTTTGCTTTGAGCTTTGGATCCGTTATTTGCGTTGTTTTGATAGTCGTTTGCCTTTGATTGTTGTCTACCATTGAATCGATAGGCAATGAAAGCGACAATAATTGTCGACACAATCAGAATCAACACAAGTATTGCCAAAATATATGACAACTTGTTTGATGTAAACCATGTGTTAGAGGGACTCAATGAATTACAAAAGGCATTCAGGTACTCGCCATCCGGTCCCTTTACGCGCTAAGCGAGCAATAAATAAGTTTAAAATTAATTATAATGTTATTAAATTATTTTAAATAAAATCGTAATATGACAAACCTGAATACGTATTGAGGCCTCTTGTATAACATGTTCAATAAAATGACTATCGATTGTACTTATTTTATCATAAGTTTTAAGTTCGTAAATGTATAGCTTATTATCATCGGTATCATCGATATTGTTGGCCACAATGTGTGGCCATTGGCGATCTGTGGTTAGGGTGACCATCTCAAGTTCTAGCAAAAAAGGATTTTGACTAAATTTAAATTAATTATAGAGGACAAATAAAGGACACGTATTTTAGTCTCATTTTTTGTTTAAATTAAAAATCCTATCAAAATCACTAATATGTATTAAATACATGTCCTCTATGGCACCTTCAAAGGACAGAGGACAAGAGTCCAAATAGAGGAAAATCCTCTGTAATAGAGGACAGGTGGTCAACCTACCTGTGATGAAAGGCTTATTGAAGGCGCCGATAATCTTAGTAAATCCGGAGTCAATAGACTTATATACTTTTGCCTTTGAAAATTGGTCGGCACTTATATTTCTGAACGGATAAAACAATTGTTTGTCTACTTTTAGTTTGGGATCGTTTCCGGTCTCGGTATAGATTATTTCATCGGAATCCGCGAAATGAATCATAAATAAGTAATATTTCTCTTCCAAATAATAGACCGATAAAAAGGGTTTGTATTGGTTTTTGTATGCGTCGAGTGCGGGGCCCAGAGTGTAGGCCAGATGGGGGTGAGCTTCGACTGGAATGATGTGATAGTAAGGGAAATGCAAGTCAAAGAAGCCGTATATATATGCGCCTAATTCTCGGTACGCGTGACTACTCTTGCCGTGGATGACCACCTTATATAACGGGTGTATCTTAAATGAATATCCGGTCACTCGTTGTCGAGTGTCTTTTGTTGGAAATTAAATGTTGTTTTAAAAACACTTTATATGTTTAATACAATCAAAGGTTTTGCATAATTACCGAAATACGTTCCCAACAGTTGTGTAACGTATTTATCAAATATAAACTTTCGTTCGGAAGAAGAGTCGCGAAACGAATAGTAATAGAAATGACGGCCCGTTTGATGGTATAGTCGGTCACCGATATTGAAGACACTTTGACGCTTGTTATAAGTGCGGTTCACTTCACACACGCCTTCAGTATAACTACTGATCACTGAATATGTCATGTGTTTTGCCGGACAGTAAACAATGTCATCCCACTTGAAATAATGGTCTCCTTGAAACTATTTATAAATGTTTAATTTTAAAATCTGTTATTATTTGATAGACAAAATACCTGTGGATTTGTTGTCCTTATGCTCTCGACAGCAATAGGAAAGTATTGATTACCACTGAAAGCATTCAAAACGATATGATTGTTGTGAACAAAAAGTCCATTTATAGTATCATTGCTTTGCAACTGATTCGTGACCTCATTATATTCAATCATACTATTAATATCCGGTGCTTTACCTCCCGGAGAGTGCTTGACGTCGACCGTCCACTTAAACGTATGGACGGTTTGGTTGTTGTCCAGAGGGTCTGTACTCGCGGCCCAAAGCACAGCAATATTGTATAGCTTTGTGTCGACGCTCTGTTGATAGGCTGTGAGGCCCCGAAAGTCAGGTGTCTTTCCCGTTGATATTTTGCGGTCAATATATGCGGACAATTCAGTGCAAAAATTCTGGTAACCATAATCTTCCCATTTATACGCTTCCATACCATTGGGTGTGTAGTAAAAAGGAAATGCTTTGAGACCTGTCTTTGCAAATGTGGTTTCGCTGGTCTTCTCAGACGTGTATCCATACAAACACACGTTATAATAGGCGTCGGAATCGAGTAGACGTTGTTTGCATTCTTTAGTCTGTGATCCGTGAAAATTACGGCAATGAATATATTCCACCGATTTGTATGAAAAGCCGTATATATTCTGGAATATATCTGTCATAATAATAGTTAAAATCAAATTAATAACATGTTTTTAATGGTAATTATGAAATTACGGACCGATGCTATTATTTAAGAGAATTTGTGCGAAGTTTGTGTCGTAAACAACACTCTGGACCCGATTGGCACGATATGCGACCGGAAACGCATTTTCATTGAATGCATTGCTTTTTAATCGCCAAAAATTACTATTTCTCTGAAAGTATATGTCTTTTCCTAAACTGAAGACACTATCAAAACGATAGCCCAGTCGGCAGACATCAAACGGTGCGAACGGTTCGCGCTTTTCATTGCATCCAAAAAATTGCGAAAATATAACATCCTTTCGGTTTGAAAGTGAAAATCAAATGTAGGTATTAATAGAAATAATATATCACCCAATGATAAGAAAATTACAATTGTAACAAAAATCATTACCTTAATCTCTACGGAAACATATGTGAAACTGTTTATGGTTCCGATTTCGAATAAAAGGTTTTTAGTCAAACACTTGTTTTCACACATATAGACATTGGATATACCGGGAAATGTCAAAATTTCATTACCTTAATCTCTACGGAAACATATGTGAAACTGTTTATGGTTCCGATTTCGAATAAAAGGTTTTTAGTCAAACACTTGTTTTCACACATATAGACATTGGATATACCGGGAAATGTCAAAATTGTCGGCTTTAGGTCGTCTTTGGACACAAAGCGCGCTAAAATGGTCTTATTATATGGATATGCCTTATAAAAAAAGAGTGTATTTATAGGGTTTGGCAAAATGCTTGTATTGGTGTGTCTAATGATGGCTACACTTTCGTAGATATAGTTTCCGATATCACTGTAACGGCTGAACGACGAGTGTATTGACACCAAAGACTTGTTTACGTATTGAGCCGTCGGAAACATCTGATCCAATGTATTGACACAATGGGTGCGAAGCTTTTTGAGATCAGCGGATTGTTTGTAATTGATTAAACAGTTTTGGACCAAAGGATCTAAAAAATCTGAACCACACATACGGATAGAAAATACATTTTCCTGATAATGATATTCTAATACAATAGGCTCTGTAGTGATGGCCGACAATGGGTTGGATGTAATAAAAAGCAAACATTGTATTAGAAATATATTCAATAGCAGTGATATTCAAAGGGAAAAACCATGATTGAGATGAGTGCCCATCGGGAAAATGCAGATCAGGTCTATGTTGTGATCCCTCATAACGTGTGTAATCATTGCACACAAATGGGTATAATTGGCGGCATTTGTTGGGTTGATTGTAATGTTGCAGAAATTGATCAGTTCTTTGTAGACCAATGGAAATGCCGTAATCGGTGTCCTAAACGCTGTAAACAATGGCAACACATTTAATCGTTAATTAATTGAAAATTAATTTTAGTGGTTTTAATGATTGCGTAAAAAATATTTACGCAAATTAAATGTGTTGTGAAGCAAATGTAATAAATGGGTTGAATCGTGCGATAAATTGTAATATTTTTTGGCAATTTTAATGCCCGTATAGTTTCCGTAATCCATGTCTTCAATTCCCGGTTCATTCACTTTCCATAACTCGAATTTATTGGCTTTGGTTTGGATTTGATAAAACACATGGTTTTGTAATCCAAATGAACTCGTAATCGCTTTATAATCGCATAATGAATGCTCCGATTGTTGACCACAACTAATCCATAAGATATTACCGATAATCAGGATTTGCAGCCAAATTAAAGACATGTTTTGCAAATGAATAGAAGAATTGAATAAATTATTCAGAAATTGAATTAATTTTTAGTTTAAATTAACATTTAGTATAAAACGTAACAATAATTGATATTATTGTGTAAATGATTGTCTGAAGCAATAAATATAAAAACATTTTCTTACTTCACGTAAACTGAAAGTATTGTTAGCACTAATTAAACGATAACTATATGTCATAAAAATTTCTTTTGCGAAAAACTCACTCAAATTGAAGTGTTTGGAAAGAAAAGTGAGTAAATGTGTGCAGTTTTGACCACAATTGTAGTGACGGTTAAGCATAGAAGTGGTCACTCGTTTGCCGTTGTCTGGGCTCTGGGACTCACTCTCTTTATATATGTTAACTGGTACTTTCCTAATTAAATTAAAATTATTTAAAAACCAAGCACAATTATTTGTTAAAAATTGTAATATTTATTAAATCATAATTTAAATCATGAATTAATATAATTATTAAATACAATTCAAATCATAAATATTATAATAAATAACAAATTGTTTTTAAATTATCATAACTTGTCTCCAAAAACATGAATTTACGGCAAATATTGAGAAATAGTGGCGAAAAATGAGATAATTTGTAACTCAATCGATGGACAGAGAATATAACAAAAGCTAATCTGTGGCTCAGGTTTGCTATCGTCGACGGGTCGGGGTTTGGGTACAACTCCGGGCCTGACTTCCATTATATAATCAAAGTCTTGAAGTGATTTGCAATGTTTTGATCCCAACTTATATTTAGGACAGTCTTGTCGTTCATTGGATGTGATTTGCGGATCAAATACCACTTTATTGAACGCTTCCAACAGTTCTTTGTCACACTTTTCTACAATTATTTTGCGCTGACATTCAATGAGTTGGACGGGAGGGCTCTGGCAGTGACCAAACGGGTTGAGTAAATGCATCAGATCTCCCACTATATGCCTCTTTTCAACACTCGCTCCATAAGACAATTGAGCGGCGGTTAGGCCTGTGTTCAGGGATTTAAAAATTAATATTTTCAATGATAAAATTGATCATGAGCATTATTTATTTATTTAATCTGAAAAACTTACACAAAGCCAATGATACCAATACTAAACAATTCATTGTTTTCAAAGTTTATCAAAGTTAATTTTATAGTTATTTAAAACTAGTGATGAATTTTGCATTATATCCGTCGAGTTTATATACTTTAAAAATTTTATTGTAATTACTGCACTCGTATAATAATTCTTTATTTTTATCTCATTTGATCATGGTAATAAATCACGAGGGTAAAAATATAAATCACGAAGTAACGGTTAATTATATACAGGATATAAAATATTAGTACACTATTTACACATTACTGTTAACATGTGTTGCATTTAAAGCATACATTTGTATGAAAAGTACAGAAAACACCTTTTGATTAATTGCTCGCATTATTAATGATTTTTAACATTCAATCTTTGATTATAAGTTATAATCAATTTATATAATTTATAACAAATGCACTTATTTTTAAATTGATTTATTTTTAAAATAACAATTTTACATGAAATACAAGTAATTAAAAATTATTGTTTTAAACATTTATCGATTGAAATGAATTTATATTTATTAAAACAAATCTAATTGGAAACGAAATTAAAGTTATAAATATTATTAAAATTCATATAATTATCATATTTTATGAAAAAATGATAAAAATTCTTTCGTATTAATTGTCTTATTAATTATGAACACAATTATATAAGTTTTATAAAAAATTGCGATCAAAATAGTTGTCAATAAGTCTTCAATACATTTGTAACTTATATTTCTCCAAATGATTACATTTATGTTTAATTAGTTTTTCTGTAAAACTTTTGTCACAATTTTCTGCTTCACAATTGAATAGTTTTTCCTTCAAATGAAAACCTTTTTTTTATGTCGAATTAAATTTCCGTTTAGTGAAAATCGTTATTACAATCAATTAAAGTACAAACAAATGGTCTTTCTCTCGAATGAACGAGTTTGTGGACATTTAGATGTTGTTTTGTACCAAAACTTTTGCCACAATTTTCTTCTTCACATTTAAATCGGGTTTCACTCAAATGAACACAACTTTTGTGTTGAAATAACTTTGCTTTTTGTGCAAAACTTTTATCACAATCGTTAATATTGCAAATAAATGGCTTTCTTAAATGAACACTCTTTTTGTGTCCAATTAAATGTGATTTTCGTTTAAAACTTTTGTTGCAATCTTTGAAATCACAAACAAATCCTTTGTTCAAATGGACGGCATTTTTGTGTTCAATTAAATGTGATTTTTGTTTATAACTTTTAGTACAATCATTGAAATCACATTTAAATTGTTTTATATTTGTATGAATTAATTGATGTGAAGTTAAAACACTTTTGAATTGAGTCTTGAAGTGACAATCAGTCCAAAGACACTGAAACTTATCATTATTTTTATTAATTGTTTTGTTAATTGCCATCAAATTAACACTGATTTTGAATGGTTTGCAATCAATAATAATTTTATTTAATGATTGAATGTTTTCAAACAAAACACTACTATTTGTATTCAAAATACATTGCATTTTATTTATGATTTCGTTAAAAATCTTCATTTCATTCAATTTAGTAATCATTTCATTAAAATTCATGTCTTCGTCGATCAATTGATCCAACGTTTGGCTGTCGTTGTCTTCGGTGGCCATCACTTCATCGACTCGTCGATTGTGTCCACACAAACACCACTTCACCACTCAATCAACACATCAATCAATACACAAACTGTCCGTCACTTCACTTCCGGACTCAACACCTCTTTAGGCCTTTAAATGTAAACTAAATTTACAACAAAACTAATGATTGAAAGTAAACACAAAACACGTGTATTTTAAACATTGACTCAACTCTGACTCACACTCCATACAAACCAGTTATTGGTTTATAAAAAGTTTGTGTAATTTTTATTCCCATATTTTGTTCCCAATGTTTGGGAAAATAGATTTACAATTTCCTAAATATTGCTAAAACTCCTACACTTTTGATGGGAAATATTGTGTCATATTTAGGGAACCTCATCGACCAATAAGCAGAGGGTTTGCTAGCATTCATACAATACGTTACGCGATTTGCGTGAGTGTGGAGTGAATGGAGTATATTATAATTGAGTACAACTTTAGGGGCTCTATAAATGCATTGTAAACCGTAACACACTTTTATAATGAGGTTTATTTCTCAAACTTTAAAACTTACAGTAAATACCAATTAAATTAAATTAATTTTTTTTAAATTTTATTAAATTGTTTCGTTTTTATAATAAATATAATTTTAAATGACATTTAACTTAATTTTTATTCTAAATATTAAATTATTTTTGATTTTTAATTTTGTTGTCACAAAAATTATTGTCACTTTTGTTGTAATTGTATTATCAATACATTGACTGAACTGTAAATTACAACACATTTTGTGTTCAAAACAATGCTTTCAAACCTTTTGTCTATAAATTGTGGCAAAAGTTTTGAATTTATGTTTAGTTTTAAGTGTTTTACAAAAGTTTTGATTGATTTGTGTTTAACTGAAACCGGATTTAGTGTTGAATTGAAGTTTCGGGGAATGAATAGAGAGATGAGGAGTGAAGTGGAAGTGCTGTCAGAGTGTGTGGACACATGTGTGGACACAATCGACG